TTTATTGGAGATAAGAGTCTCATAGACTTTCCTGCAAGAGCTGGCTTGGAACCACAATCCTCAGACCTCAGCCCCCTGAGTAGCTAGGATTACAGGTGTAAGCCACCAGCGCCCTGCTCAAAAATGCTTTAAAGAAAAATTAAGTACAGCCACATCATCAAGCAGGGAAAATAGAAAAAAGACCTAGCTATCCATCTGCTTGTAACTGCACAACCGCCATGCAGTGAATGAGAAATAGGAACCGGCAAGTGACCAAATCTAGTTCCCTAGGGAAAGGTTATCAGGTGGAGTTCTCTCCAGAGCCCTACTACAGATCAGAAGGTGTCTAGTTCTTCTCTGTATACCATCCATTTCTCACACTTCCATTCTCATCCTTCTGGCAACACCTTGCTGTTGAAAACTCACAGCCTTACTCCCACCCCACCCCCAAATAGCATGGATGCAGAGGCGCTGCCTGAGCGAGCAGGGATGACAGCACCTGTATGTGAATGTGGCTGTGAGAGTCAGCCTTGGGCAGCTTTCTTAGCACAGAGGCTTGTGCCATGCATGTGTTCCCATGTGCAGTCACAGCCGCCAGTGTGGCAGCCTCCGTGGAGCTGCTCTCCAGAAGAGGGAAGGGCTTGGAGGACGCAGAGGACACAGCCACCCTCCCCCACGAACGTGCCCACAGGCCAGGCTGGGAAACATGCTCCATGCCACACCAGTGGCCATAGATCCAAGAACCATTCTTCCCCAAACCTCTGCCACCTGCTAATCTTCTGGTGGCACCTTGGTCTTCCATGCACTGGGCAGCATCTTCTCCCCCGCTCACCAGCTTATGATCCACGGAGACACGTGGGGAGGAAGGGAAGGGGACAAAAGGCAGATCTGTGGCCAACAGGCAGTGACTTCTTCTGAGTTATAAGCATGCTTCTATTTCCTTTGTCACAACACAATTGATAGGCAAAAAAAAAACCAATGTTTACAGGTGCAGAGCCCCTTGTTATAGTTCCAGTTGGTAAGGTGGTGATGGCCATGTTGATGACAAATGCAAGGAGTAACTAGTACCCAGGAAAAACCTTGTGCCAACACTTGCCCTCAGTAAGCACCAGAATCTACAGAGGTGGCAATCGATGGGAGCAGAATCACAGTCCTCTCTCTCTCTCTCTCTCTCTCTCTCTCTCTCTCCCCTCTTCCCCCCCCTTGCTGTAACCAAAAAGAAATAAGAAAACAAACAAATAAAACATCTGTGCAAATCCTCTAGCCCCACAAGGTCTGAGCTGACCTAAAAAGAAACCACTATTTTTGGAGCCCATGCTGTGGGCTAGGATGACAGTTGTCTACGTGGTGATGTAGGAATGTGAAGGCCTCTCTCGCTGGAAGCACTGACCTTTCTCCGGAACCTGTAGATGTCTGGTGCTCATCTGAAGTGGGGTGAAAGGTTAGATATGTCTACCTCCATGTTGTATGTGTCCCTAGTGCTACCTGAAACTCCGGGTCCGAGTCTACTCAAATCTGCATGTAGATACGCTGATTTTTTTTTTTTTTTGGTCAGTCGTGGGGCTTGAACTCTGTCCCTGAGCTCTTCAGCTCAAGGCAAGTGCTCTACCGCTTGAGTCACAGCTCCACTTCTGATTTTCTGGTGGTTTATTGGAGATAAGAGTCTACGGACTTTCCTGCCCAGGCTGGCTTTGAACCATGATTCTCAGATCTCAGCCTCCTGCGTAGCTAAGATGACAGGTGTGAGCCACTGATGCCTGGCTAAGATATGCTAATCTTTAACTATATTTTCTCCAAAGCCTGTTGGGCATGCGTCCCTTGAACTCTGCCCAGTGCTTTCTCCACCACTCACACATCCAAAATAATCCAGTTGAGGAGACCAGCTGTGCTGAGTGGGTACGCTGAATGATGAAATGGCTATGCTGGAGACAGTAAACCGAGAGAAAAGTGTGCTGAGGGTCAGGGGAAGGTGGGAGGGTCAAAATAGCCATAGACACCATCAGAGGCAACTCCACTGCGGAGTTCCAACCACGAGCCGTGAAGCATTTGACAGGCAATAGAATGACCTTTCAGCATCAGAGATAAAACACGCTTCGCTCTGACCAGGAAATCCTGACTCCCCAATGATTGTGTATTCAGGGCTCCAGGGCAAGCCGGCCTCAGCACTCCTGTCATGGCGGCTTCACCGGACTTGGCTCCTCTACCAGGGGATGGGTGGCCATGCGTGAGCTGCCCACCCCGCCTCTGTGGGGGGTTTTCTGCTCTCTCTTCTCTCTTTCCCTCAGGTAGAGGCAGTCATTTCTTGGTCACGTCGGATGGGGACTTGGAGTGATTTCATTGCAATGACTCACATCCCATAAGTCCATCCGCTTCAGATGTACAAGCGATGGTTTTCAGTCCCTTTGCACCCAATCAGCACAGTCTAGTTTTAGAACATCCTCACATCCCAACAAGGTCTTTTTCATCCATTAGCAACCAAGCTTCAACCCCACCACAGCTGGAAACATAAGTTCATTTATAGGCTCCTCTGTTCTTCTCATTTCTTGTGAGGGGGACCACATAGGGTATGACTTTATGACCAGCTTCTTTCCCTGAGGATGATGTTTCCAGGATTGTTACATTGGAGCATGGATCAAAGCTTCATTTGTTTTGGGGGGGATTGTGTGTGTGTGTGTGTGTGTGTGTGTGTTTCTGTGTCTGTATCTGTGTCTGTGTGCTGGACATTCCATAGATAAACCATCTTTTAACTCTTCTTCACTTGATAAGACTAGCTTGTTTCTACTTTAGGATTACTAAGAATGATGCTACCACAAGCTTTCATAAACAAGGGTGCCTCAGCTGTACACAAGGAGTGTAAATGACTCCCTACTTAACAATTTGGAGAAATTCCAAGTTGTTTTCCACAGTGGCTACACTGTTTCAGAGATCTATTACCAAGAAGAACACATCAGAAGGGTCTCTGAGCTGGGCTCACACCTATAATCCTAGCCACTCAGGAGGCTGAGATCTGAGGATCACAGTTCAAAGTCAGCCTGGGTAGAAAAATCATCATGAGATTCTTATCTCCAATTAACCACTCAAAACAAAACAAAAACTGGAAGTGGTGCTGTGATAGAGTGTTAGCCTTGAGCAAAAGAGCTCAGGGACAGCGCCCAGGCCCTGAGTTCAAGCCCCAAGACTGAATAAAAGGGGGAGGGGTCTCTGAGACCCACTCCTCAGAAGATGACCCCTAGCACTCTGCCAGCTTCAGTCTAGAACCAGCAGCTCCTTACAGCCAGCATTTCATTCCCATTGCTCACTGTGTGCAGGTAAGCACACGCGTGTGACACACCTGTCTTAGTTCCCTCTGTCTGACCACGTGGTGTATGGACCAGAGGGGCTTTGTGCACACCTTCCCCAGGAGGGCATGCACATGATTTCCTGTACCAGCAGGGTCCCTCTTTATCTAGGATGAAGCTGACTTGCCCAGGGACAGAGGAATGGAGGGCCTAGTTCAGGGGACTCTGGTTCCTACCAGCTCCCTCTGTGGCAGCCAGAGTTACCATGTGGGGTGGGATCCCTCAGGATCTCTCCACACAGCAAGCCGCATACCTCCACTCATTTCCTGCCAGCTCTCATCTGGATCCGCTTCTCTGGCCAGCCACCCTGTCCTGGACATCCTTGGGGTGGAACGCTGCTGTTCAGTGACTTCCAACAATAATGATATTTACCCTCCACTGCAAAGCTGGCCGTGTTTGTGGTCAGGAAGGGACAGGCCTGTCCTCTGTGCCAAGTTCCCCGGTTCCAGGACCCAGTGATATAAAGGCAGCTGGTTCCCAGTGAGGAACTAGCGCAGACTCTCCCAGCCCCACGATCGAGCTGTTGGACAGTCGTGAGAGCAGACCTCAGACATGAAGACCCTGTTCCTGATCTTCGGCCTGGGCCTCCTTGCTGTCCTGCAGGTGCAGGGCCTTCCGGTTGTGGAGGAAGAAGAGCAAGAGGTGAGTCTCCATTAGGAGGGGCCGGCCTGTGGAAGGGGACTGAGACCTCTGGCTGAAGGTCCCATTCCTACCTACATCCAAGGAGACCCTCACTTTAGGGCCATGGCCTGAATCTCAGGCCTAACAGAGCATGAGACAGAGAGCTGTGTGACTGGTCCAGGGGGGCCCAGGGTTCAGAAGGGCTAGCATGGGAGGGGGACACCTGCTGTCTTCCCTGGGATGGAGGGAGCCTGTAGCCCTGGCTGACCTACAGGGACTCAGGGCCTGCACGTAGACAGCCTGGGGACAGTGGTAGGTGGTTTGGGGATGGGAGGAGGACTGGAACAGGCCCCATGTCTGCATACCTTGGAGATGAAGGTAGAGTCCAGGCCTACAGATCAGAGGACAAGCCCTTACAGGGGTGACAGCTGAGTATCTTCTCTAGGACTTAGGGACGTGGTATTTGAAGGCCGTCATATTCGACAAGGAGATTCCTGGGGGAAGGCAAGGGTCTGTGTCTGTGACCCCCATGGCCATTAAGATCCTGGATGGGGGCAACCTGAAAATCCAGTTCACGTTCAGGTGAGTGCCTGCCGGCCATGAGGCCATGACCTGCCCAGCCTTTTCCTACCCACATAGGAGAGCCAGCAGTCAGTGGGGCAGGCCAACAGTGCCTCACATCTCTTCTCAAATCCAGGGACTTTTGCTACAGGGGCTACTGTGCCACTGTGGGTGCCTTGATCAGATGGACCCTGGGTTGTTGAAGCCCTAGAGCAGACCCAGTGGGCTGGGTGGACTGGCACCTACTTTCTACTTGGTAAAAGAACAGCTGTTGTCCATCCAGTCCCTTGGGGGATAGAAGCGTCACTCACAGACCCAACCAGAGCTGGCAGACTGGGCTTATGGCCCTAGACTTGTTCATTATCATAGCAAATTGCTGCTCTTCGACACAAGGTTTGCAGACTGACCAGAGAGGGTGGAAGAGACCAAGGAGAAGCCTTGGCAAGGCAGTGCATGGACACCTCTGCAGTCCCTGTGCAGACCCCTGTGTCCTTCCAACCTTTCATCCCCTCTGCATCCATGTGGGGGGCCCCCGCTTGAACAGCAAGATGGTATCTGTGCTCAGGTCCTGGAAAGACATTCACCTTGTGTTTTGGGGATCCCCGGGACCTCACATTCACCGACATTTCTTTTATGGGACCAGGTGTTGGGAGATGTCAATCCGTCTCTAGGCATAGCGGACCGCCAGGACAGGAACTGAGCAGGGCGAGGGTTGGGGGTAACACTGGTGTCTGAGGGAAAGGCAGACCCAGGTCCCCTGTGGGGCAGAAGCACAGCCAGGCGAGGTGAGGCATGGAGCTATGGCCTCCGCGTGACATGGAGGGCTGCCTGGACCTGAAATGAAGGAGCCCACTCCTCCCTGGTCCTGCATGGGCATGCGTGGTCCCACTGCCCTCAGGAAAGGTCCTGGGCCGGACAGTGCTGCTCACTGAGCTGGTTTTCCAGGGTTGCGGATCAGTGCCACGGCGTGAGCGTGACCCTGCAGGAAACTGAGGAACCCGGGAAATACACCGCCTGTGAGTCCACAGCCCCTCACGGCTGCTCCCCAGTCCCAGCGGGGAGCGGCCAGCGTCCGCTCAGGGTGGCCTTTCAGTCAGAGAACCTTTCTCTCCATTCGGCACTTGTTTGCACACACCCTTAGCTCCCATGGCTCAATTTGCTGTCAAGACCCACACACTGTCCTCAGCCTGGACAGGCTTTCCCAGTGCAGGCTTTCCCAGTGGTGATGGCTGCGCCTAGAGCAGGGTGAGCAGCACGGCTGCCCTGGGCTTCCTGCTGGGGCTCCCAGGCTCAGGATGTGGGCACCACTCTGGTGTGTGGGGACACCCTGGCCTGGACATCGGCCCAGGGAGGACGTGGTGAGGACCTGCTGGCAAGCTGCCAGGGGCTGGATGCTGAGCACTTTTCCCAGCTGGGTGCTGGGTGCTGGGAGCTGAGTGCTGGGTGCTGGGTGCTGGGTGCCAGGTGCTGAGCACTGGGTGCTGGGTGCTGAATGATCTTGCACCCATGCTGCTGCAGGATCTGGTCCTTACTCAGGACTGGTTGTCCCTGTCCTCTGCAGATGGTGGCAAGTATGTGGTACAAATCATTAAGTCGGGCGTGGAGGGCCACTACATCCTCTATGGCGTGACTGATCTGCACGGACATCAGATCCGAACGGCTAAACTTGTGGGTGAGTCACATGATCTACGGGCCTCCAGAAGTCACCCTGCGACAGGAGGGGCTGAGGCCTCTAGAGCAAACCTTGGGCCCCTTTCCCGAGGGGTGCCTGGTGGGCACCAGACAGGAATGGGAAGAGAGGCCTGCATGCAGCTCACCTCTGAGCAGCTCTGGGTGCCAGCACCCTTCCTGGACAGACAGAAAGGCCCAGGACCCTCCTGCGTCCTCCCCAGGGCCAGGTGTGTGTGAGCAGAGAGCAGAGGAAGGCGCGGTGCCCCGAGCCCCACCAACGGGTGCCCGCTCCTCCAGGGCGCATTGGTCCTGCCACCCCTCCTGGCCTGGGCCAGGCACAGGGTGCTGAACGGAGAGTGGCCCTGTGTCCCAGCTCAGCTGCTGTGGACTCGTGGTGGGACTTCACCTGGTGGTCCTTGCCTAGCCAGGCTCCAGGCCAGGCCCCTCAGGGTGGGCGGGGCCTCCCCCAGCCCAGCCTGCTCAGTCCTGCAGGCTGGGGTGATATGCCAACAGTCACTCACGCTCCTGTCTCCGCCATCCTCACCTGCAGGCACTGACCCTGACTTCAACCAGGAAGCCCTGGAGGACTTTGAGAATGTCACAGGAGCCAGAGGTCTCAACACAGAGAACATAGTCATTCCCAAACAAAGAGGTAGGAAAGAGGCCCCTGCCTAGCACCCCCAGACCCCATGGAGGGAAGGTCACCGCATCACTTCCCGGGGTCAGGCTGCCTTGCATCCTGACTGTCCCTCTGGGATCGTGGGAGATGCTGGCGATGGAGAAACTACAATCTGGAGTGAGCTCCGGGGTCTGAATCCTGAACCTTTCTTTCACAGAAACCTGCTCTCCGGGAGGTGATTAGGGTAAGAGGTGAGTGTCAGACCCATTGGACAACACCCCCAGTGCTGGGGGTCAGTGAGCCTCCAGAGCCTCTGTGGTCTAGCACCCGACTCCTGCCTGGACAGGGGGGAACCCCACCGCCCCGGCGCCCCGAAGGGTGCGGACTCTGCTTCGGCAGAAATCTTTGCCCTTGAGTGCAGAGCTCAGGTTTCCTTCCGGAATGTGATTCCAGTTTCAGGGCAGGACCGTCCACCCTCTGCGCTCCAGAGGTGGGTTGCTGGAGGAGAGTACGGCCCCTCCCAACTCCTGCACCCCGGCAGCACACCCAAGACCTCCCCCGCCCCTCAGTAGGAGGGTGGCAGCCATGCTGTAGACCTCAGAATTCCCACGTCCCCCCTGTGACCCTGAGACCCTGCCCACGGTCCTGGCCCAGATGAGGACAGACCCAGGGGACACCTGCTGGCATCTTGCCCTGGTCATTGCATTTGCTGACGTCACCGTTCCTCTTCGCACACAGCAGGCAGCCTCACTGTGATTTGGTGGATGGAGCCCCAAGAGCCAGCATCTCTCTTCTTTTCTCCCTTCCTGGCCCCGTGAACACTCCTCCTCTTCCTGGTCTCAAGGCCCATGGTGTGGCAGCAGACCCAGTGTCTTATCCTAGGGGACATAGAACCAGCCCCCTCCACTATCTGCCTCTTCCCTCCCCTTCCCCATATTTCTCAATAAAGGGCTTCAGCATTCCCTGGTGACTCTGCCTGTCTGTGAGGCCCTTTGGTAGGCTTTGCTTGGAGGGAGGAATGCCTGGAAGCAGTCAGGAAGCACTGAGGACCCAGCCATGTTCTGATCCCTTCTGGTGCTGCACAAAGACCAGGGAGAGCCTGGCAGGGCTGTGGTTGCAGATGTGCCCCCAGGGTCCCCTGGTTGCTTCCTGCAAATGTGCCACCCACAAAGCCAGGTTTTGATGACTGATGTGATGGCAGACAAGCATGTGAGGCACAATGAGGCTTCAGCCAAAGTCCAGCACCCAGCACAGCTCATGCACAGCTGGAGGGTCTTTATATTAACACGATCCATAGTGTATCATAGTCAAGTAATGGTTTTCCATTTATATTCATTGATGCTATACACACACACACATCTATCTATCTAGCTAGCTAGCTAGCTATATCTATACCTATATATTATACTTACAAGTCTCTTTGTCTTTTTCCTTCCCTTACTTACTGACTCATCCTCGCCTTCTTTCCTTCCTCCACTTACAAATTTATATTCAGACATAATCCTTGCAAGAATGTTTATATTTAGACATAATTATTTTCCCAGCCAAATCCATTTTTTGTTAATAACTTTTTAACAAAATACTTAATTTTAGGCCTCAAACATAGAACTAATTGTGCTAGTTCAACTCCTAGTGAAGACTCAGGAAGTAGCCATCTTGAACTGCTTTTCTATGCACCAACAATTCGTGAAAACGTGTATATGAACAGACCCAAATATATGCGTGCACATGAGCACATAAGGTCCTGGGCACAGGCAACCAACGAGATGAAGGTCGTGTGGCTACCAGGAACAGGAGCAAGGGTGGAGCTGGCAATGAGGCTGGTGGGGGAGTCAGGTGTCCAAGGGCCCTGAGACGGTGTTTTACCTGTGCAGACAGGGTCAGCACTCATCACTGGCTTCTGGGGAGCACTGATGAGTCTGATCTTTAGAAGAGGCAGCACCACAGAGGAAGGATGCAGCACTGGGACTCTGGGGCCACTCACACCCTTGCAGTGCTGATTGTGACTAGCAGAGGGAAACCAGGCTTACTAGGAATACAGTCCTTCCATCCTTCTATCCACCCATCCACTCATCCACCCATCTGCTCATCCACGCACCCTGCTATTCTCCCATCTACCATCCACCCATCCATCCTTCCACACAACCACCCCCACAGAAGGGTGAGTACACCCTTCTGTTTTCACCTACCCATCTACCCACCTTTCTGTTTTCCCATCCACTCATCCACCCATCCACCCATCCAGCCTTCCAGTCACCAATCCACCTATCCATATACCTACTATCTACCCATCCATCTATCTTCCATCTGTCCATCCACCCATCCTTCTATCCACCCATCCTCCCATTTCCCCATCTACCTAACTACTCATCCATCCTTCCTTCCACTCATCCACCCAATCTTACACACATACATCCACACATCCACCCATTCTTACATCCATCCATCCACCCATTCACCCAAACAAAGTTCTGTTCACTCTAGGCCCTACCTGTCCTCCGGTCTCCTCCTCCTACACTGAAAGATTCCATCTGGCCATTCCAGAAACCTCTCAGAAACTTCTGAGATGAGCCTCTCCCAGAGGGAATACCATTCAGGAGAGGTCTGTCTGCCTCTACCTGTCCAGCTCAACCTGCTGAGAGAGCCTGCCTGTCCGTGGGAGTTTGTGTTTCTTACAGGGCTCAGAACCACCCTGCCTATGCAGAGACTCTAACCAAGCCCTGCGCCTGCCTCTGCTCCCATCCAGCCCCAGCCTCTCTGCCCCTTCATTCCTGCTGAGGAGTGGCTTCCCCCTCCAGCTCTTAGGGAAGTGGTACATCCGGCTCTGGGCAGGAAACGTGCCCATTCCTGCAGGGAAGAAGACCAGCCCGCAGCCTCGCTTGACATTTGTCAGCAGAGATCTCGAGGAAGGAAGCTGGAGTTCAGGATGAAGGACTGTCCTCCTTGAAGGACTGCTCTGAGCGGGATAGCTGGGTCAGCCTAAGCAGAGACGGGGAGGGGTGTACTTGTAAGTTACCCCTCCTCCAAAATCCTCCAAAATCTCCCTCCTTGCAGGACTCCATCCCTGTCCCGTAAGAGTCCCTCCTCTGCCCCCAGAACACATTCTTCCCCTGCACCCTCGGCTCCTCCAGAGGCCCCTGGTATCTCCTTGGCCCTGAACGCTCCTTGGTGTATCTGACTTCAGAGGCTGCACCCTGACAGGCAGCGCGCACAACACCTCCACAGCTACCCATGGCACCTGCACACGGGGGGGGGGGGGGAGCATGGACAGGAAGCCCTGCCCATCTCTCCCCAGCCCTGATCCCCATACTCGGAGTCACTCCTGGGCCTTGTAGACTCTTGGGATCACAGAAGGTGCAGAAGAATGAATATGTGAGCTCTTGGCTCCTCATCCTCAGCTCAAATCCTTCCCGAGGAACGCTGAACACTGCAGGCCACGCCCTGGACTGGGCCCCATTCGATGTGATTTGGGTGCCCCAGAAGAGAGGAGAGGCATAAGGTTCAGTCAGGAGAGGTGACATGAGCTGAAGACGCCTGGAAGTTTGGGCCTTCCCGGAAGGCCCTGCGGTCCAGGGTTACCCTTTGAAGAGCCAGACACCGGGCAGATAGTGGATGCTTCTGCTCATGCCTCTATCTCCAGCCTGAACACACACAGGCCTCCCCAGGGGCTGAGAACGCTTTCCACCCAACTTCTTTCTCCTATGAAAAAGGAACTGTCTTACATGGCACCTCGGGGGTGCCTGTGGGCGCTCAGTACCTCTCTGAGCGGGAGACCTATGAGCCCATGAAGCCCTCGGGGACTGGGCCTATGGGAGTTGTAGTTTGCAGGATTTTTTCAAAAACATCTCTGGTTCTGGCTCCTCTTGCCTGTGGTCACTTACTCAGGTCAGTGCTGTGTCTGACACCCTCGCACTCAAGACTGGGAGACAGCCAGCTCTTCCTCAGAATCAATCCATTAGAATCCCACCATCCAGGACCCCTGCCCAGCAAGCGACCCCACGTCCAGCCCCTGGTTGGGGAAGGAGCCCAGCGAGTTCCCCCACTATGAGCACAACCCCAAGAAGTCCCGAAGCAGCCCACCAAGGGCCTCCACAGACAGCAATCACCAGGGACTGTTGCAGCTCTTTATTGAGAGAGAAGGGAGGAGGGTGAGGGCCAAGGCAGCAGGTGATGGAGAGCGCTGGACATGGGGGGCGGGGCTAGTCCCATGGCTCCCAGGGCAAAAGTTCAGGGTGATGCCACCGGGCTGCTTCCAAGCCGTAGTTCAGCGTAGCTCAGCATCCGTGAGGCCACGGAGGGAGGGAGGAAGAGGGCTGCAGCAGGGGAGAAGAACTCTCAGGCTCTCCCACCATGAGATCACAGCAGAGGACGGACAAGCCATTGGCCAGGCTGCCTGCTGAGCTCCATGTCCAGGTGTGAAGAGGGACAGGTGACTTCGGCAAACAGAATAACAGTGGCAAGACACACACATTTGGACTCTTGTTTTGTCCCTATCTGGGCAGAAGACCTTAGGCAAACTCTTAAACAACACACAAGAGACACAGGAATTCTGAGGTCCTGCAGCATGTCTGTTGCCTTTCTCTTTGTTTTGTTTGGTGTGTGTGTGAGAGAGAGAGAGAGAGACAGAGAGAGAGAGACAGAGACAGAGAGACAGAGACAGAGAGAGAGAGAGAAAGAACAGGTCCTAGGGCTTGAACTCAGGGCCTGGGCGCTATCACTGAGCTTTTTTGCTCAAAGTTAGAATTCTACCATTTGAGCTACAGCTCCACTTCTTGGTTTTGGGGGTGCTTTATTAGAGACCTTGTGGACTTTCCTGCCCAGGCTGGCTTTGAATGATGATCCTCAGATCTCAGCCTCCTGAGTAGCTGGGATTCCAGGCATGAGCCACCAGTGCCTGGCTGGCTGTCCCCTTTCTTAAAAGCAGCCCAGAGAGTAAAGCGACCCAGGGATGGGTGACTCTACCTGGCCACTCTTTGTGATGAGGCTCAGCTGTCTCCTCAACTAGGGGTACGTACTGAGCTGTGGGGACCCTTGCCCATGGAGGACGCTGAGGGTCCAGCTCAGGACAGCCACGTAGATGCACAAGATGCTGGCTTTGTAGCAGAGGAAGACCAGGACCCAGCCATGCCCACTGGCACCCATGGATCTACACCCAGTGGGCTTAGTGGAGGCCTGGGATCTGGGGAAATTAGGCTGGGGGCCTCTTCCCACAAGAGGCAGCTCCTGTCCCATTTTGGCTTATATTCAGGTAGCTTGGACCAAAATCCATGGTGATTTTAGGAAAGAGTGTTTGTTTGGAGAAGGCAGTCATATTGTTCAATGTATACTTGTGAAAATGGAGCTAGGAGAAGTGAGGGAAATGGGGGAGAATAAAACTCCTCTGTACAATACCTTAAAGAGCATTTTTTAGATTAATTTCAAAAGATGCGTTACACTCATAGACTGACATGTTGCATTGAAATTTATTTGTACAACTACTTAGAGATGATTTTAAAAGAAAAAGAAAAAGGAGGAAGAAAGAGGAGGAGGAGGAAGAGGAAGAGCAAGGGGAAGTCTTCAGAATATGGCAGGCAGGCAACTACAGGAGGGGCAGCAAGTGTGTAGATTTCAACCTGCCTGGGAATGGCCTATGGGAAGGAAATCTGAGCTCAGTGCTGGTGGGGAAGGACTCTGCACCTCTGGGACAGGTCAGGGATGGAGGACAGACCCCAGGAGCTCCTGAAGCCCCATCAAACCCAGCACCAGCATGTTTACCAGTGTCCCCAAAACCAACCTTTATCCTAATCGCTTCCTGAAGAGCAGGTTTCTGTCAGAGAAAGGAAAACAGGATTCAGACCCCAGCTGCTCACTCCAGACCCCAGCTCCTCCATCACCAGCATCTCCCATGATCCCAGAGGGACAGTCGGGGTAGGATGCAGCCTGACCCTGCGAAGTGACACAGTGACTTTCCCTCCATGGGGTCTGAGGGGTGCTCTTTCCTACCCCTTTGTTTGAGGATGACGATGGTCTCTGGGCTGAGACCTCTGACTCCTGCAGCCCTCTTTAAGTCCTCCAGGGCTTCCTGGTTGAAGTCAGGGTCCCTGCCTGCAGGTGAGGAAGGCGGAGACAGGAGCATGAGTGACTGTTGGCATATCACCCCAGCCTGCAGGACTGAGCAGGCTGGGCTGGGGGAGGCCCCGCCCACCCTGAGGGGCCTGGCCTGGAGGCCGGGGGCTGGGCCTGGAGCCTGGCTAGGCCAGGACCACCAGGTGACAGTCCCACCACGAGTCCACAGCAGCTGAGCTGGGACACAGGGCCACTCTCCGTTCAGCACCCTGTGCCTGGCCCAGGCTAGGAGGGGTGGCAGGACCAATGCGCCCTGGAGGAGCGGGCACCCGTTGGCGGGGCTCGGGGCACCGCGCCTTCCTCTGCTCTCTGCTCACACACACCTGGCCCTGGGGAGGACGCAGGAGGGTCCTGGGCCTTTCTGTCTGTCCAGGAAGGGTGCTGGCACCCAGAGCTGCTCAGAGGTGAGCTGCATGCAGGCCTCTCTTCCCATTCCTGTCTGGTGCCCACCAGGCACCCCTCGGGAAAGGGGCCCAAGGTTTGCTCTAGAGGCCTCAACCCCTCCTGTCACAGGGTGACTTCTGGAGGCCCGTAGATCACGTGACTAACCCACAAGTTTAGCCGTTCGGATCTGATGTCCGTGCAGATCAGTCACGCCATAGAGGATGTAGTGGCCCTCCACGCCCGACTTAATGATTTGTACCACGTGCTTGCCGCCATCTGCAGAGGACAGGGACAACCAGTCCTGAGTAAGGACCAGATCCTGCAGCAGCATGGGTGCAAGATCATTCAGCACCCAGCACCCAGTGCTCAGCACCTGGCACCTAGCACCCAGCACCCAGCACTCAGCTCCCAGCACCCAGCACCCAGCTGGGAAAAGTGCTCAGCATCCAGCCCCTGGCAGCTTGCCAGCAGGTCCTCACCACGTCCTCCCTGGGCCGATGTCCAGGCCAGGGTGTCCGCACATACCAGAGTGGTGCCCACATCCTGAGCCTGGGAGCCCCAGCAGGAAGCCCAGGGCAGCCGTGCTGCTCACCCTGCTCTAGGCGCAGCCATCACCACTGGGAAAGCCTGCACCGTCCAGGCTGAGGACAGTGTGTGGGTCTTGAAGGCAAATTGAGCCATGGGAGCTAAGGGTGTGTGCAAACAAGTGCCGAATGGAGAGAAAGGTTCTCTGACTGAAAGGCCACCCTGAGCGGATGCTGGCCGCTCCCCGCTGGGACTGGGGAGCAGCCGTGAGGGGCTGTGGACTCACAGGCGGTGTATTTCCCGGGTTCCTCAGTTTCCTTCAGGGTGCTGCTTATCTCCCTGCAGTGGCCTGCAATCCTGGAAAACAGAAGGTCAGTGAGCAGCTCTCTTCTGCTCTGGGCCTCTCTGCTGGGGACAGCCACAGTGTGTGTCCTAAGGAGGCCCAGGGAGGGGCACGGCCTAAGGAGAAGCAGCCTTCACCCCATCTCAGGTCCAGGCAACAGCTAGTCCTCCATGCCTCCGTCCACAGGCAGATCCCTGGCCTCTGCAGGGACCACTGCTCCTTTCCAGTCCTCCAATGCCTGTCTGAGCCCCTCTACTCTCTCTAGAGAAACCTCTAGGCTGCCCGGTTTGCCTCCTCATTTGTGGCTGTGGGTCTGCCCTCTAACCCTCACCTGGCCAGCCCTTCTCCCTGCTAGCCTACTGGATGTGGAGAATCTCAGGGACAGCCCCCGGTACAGACCGTCCCTGTCACAGTGAGGGACCGCTTCAGCTCTGGAAATGAGGTAGAGACCACGCTCCATGGCCATCCCTGTGGTCAGTGTGGCCTAAGGGCAGGATCTTAGGACCAAATCACAGACACTGTCACAGCACAACATGGGTGGGAGCCAGGAGGATGAGTGAGATGCACAGGTGGAAGCCATGTTGGTGGGAGCCTGGGGGGGGGCGTGCAGAGGGGTCACACAGATGAGAGCCACAGAGGGGAAGGCCAGAGGGGAGGGCCAGAGGGGAGGGCCACAGAGGGGAGGGCCAGAGGGGAGGGCCAGAGGGGAGGGCCACAGAGGGGAGGGCCAGAGGGGAGGATCACAGAGGGGAGGGCCAGAGGGGAGGGCCAGAGGGGAGGGCCACAGAGGGGAGGATCACAGAGGGGAGGATCACAGAGGGGAGGCCCAGAGGGGAGGGCCACAGAGGGGAGGATCACAGAGGGGAGGGCCACAGAGGGGAGGATCACAGAGGGGAGGATCACAGAGGGGAGGGCCACAGAGGGGAGGGCCACAGATCACAGAGGGGAGGGCCACAGAGGGGAGGATCACAGAGGGGAGGATCACAGAGGGGAGGGCCACAGAGGGGAGGGCCACAGAGGGGAGGGCCACAGAGGAATTTCAAAGGTGGCTCTCACATTGCCTGAAAAGCCATCTTGCTTGTGTTTTGCACCCCCTGTAGGCCATTCTGCAAACCCCACACCTGTGAGGCTCCCAAAGAGAAATTCACTAGAAGGTCTATGAGGTCCAGGGTCCATGAGCCCAGTCTGACAGCTCTGATCAGGTCTGAATATAAAACTCCTGTCCCCACAGGGCCTGGGTGGCCAGCAACTGTTCTCTCACCAGTAGGTGGGTGCCAGCCCCCAAGCCCACCACGTCTGCTCTGGGGCCCCTAGACCACAGGGCCCTTGACCAAGGCACCCCTGTGACACCGTTGCTCCTAAACCTCCAGGTGTGGAGGGACGCAGGAAGGGAGGCGGAGTGGAAAGCATTGTCTGCCTGCCCCAGCCCTGGGTCGAGCCAGGAAAAGCTGAAAGAGAGCATGGCCTCCTGGCGGGGCCAGCAGATACTCACCCAAGAGTGAACGTGATTTTGAGGCTGCCCCCGTCCAGGATCTTGATCTTCATGGGGGTCACAGACACAGAGCCCAGCTTTCCCCCAGGAATCTCCTTGTCGGATGCCCAGGCTTTAAAATACCAAGTCCCTGCGTCCTGGGGACAGTACGTGTCTGTCACCACAGCGTGAGCAGACCCCCTGCAGATGCGCCCTCCCCGATCCACGCCCCACACTACACCTTGGCCTCCATCTCCTTCCATGCGCTGCCCTTGCCGGTCCACTGGAGGCTCTGAGTCCCCGTAGCTCAGCTGGGACTGCAGGCTCCCTCTGTCCAGCCAGGGCTGAAGCGAGGCCCCACTTCCTACCATAGCTTCTTTGCACCCCAAGCCCATCTTAACCAGCCACCCCATGCTCTGTCACACGTTGCCTTGGAAGGGCTTCGGGACTGGCCCTACCACAAGGGCCTCCCTGGATGCATGGGAGACTGGGGTCGTCACCCAAGCCGCCTCAGTCTCCTTTCCTGGTATCCTCCCCATCCCTGCAACTGAGGCTCACCTCCTTCTCCTCCTCCACCACAGTCGGAAGGGTCTGAGCCTGCAGGACAGCAACGAGGCCCAGGCCAAAGCTCAGGAGCAGGGTCTTCATGTCTGGCGTCTGCTCTCACAGCTGCTGAACAGCTTGCTCGCGGGGCTGGGGGAGTCTGCGCTGGTTCCTCACTCAGCTGCCCTTTATACCACTGGGTCCTGGAACCAGGGAACTTGGCACAGAGGACAGGCCTGTCCCTTCCTGACCACAAACACGGCCAGCTTTGCAGTGGAGGGTAAATGTCATTATTGTTGGAAGTCACTGAACAGCAGCGTTCCACCCCAAGCATGTGCAGGACGGGGTGGCTGGCCAGAGGAGCAGACCCAGACGAGAGCTGGCAGGAAAGGATACGTACACTGTGGGAAGGAAGGGGTGGGGACAGAGGGACCGGGGCTCAGGTCTCAGTGACCTTCCTCTGTCCTTGGGTATGTCACTTAACCTCAAATTCTTACTGAACAAAGAGAAGCACCGCACTTTTCACACGAAAATACGTACATTCTGAGAGGTTGTGCGCCCTCCTGAGCAAGGCGTGCAAAGGCCCCAGCTCCACGGAGGAAGACACATGCGTGTGCTCACGTGAGTCAGACACAGGAACGAAGCCCCGGCTGTGAAGGAGCCGAGGCCCCAGGCCCCGAGGCTGGCAGCAGACCCGGACTCCTCTCCTGGGGAATGAGGGGGGTCTCCCTGGACCCAGAAAGGAGGCTGAGAAATCCTCCTGATGCATCCCAGAGTCCCCGGCTTGTTGAACTTCACGGGGCGCTGATAAGATGCAGAGCAGCATGAGCTTGGCCACCCCGTCCACGGGCCACCGGCTTCACCTGGGACACCTCAGCGTCTGTCTTGAAATATGTGGCAAATGTCCTGTCTTGTGTCCGTCTACCTTTGGAGAGGAGGGGAGGGGAGGGGAGAGAAGAGGAGAGGAGAGAGGGGAGGGAAGGAGAAGAGAAGGGGAGAGGAGAGAAGAAAGGAAGGGAGAGGAGAAAGGAGGGGAGGGAAGGGAAGGGGAAGAGAGAAGAGGAGAGGGGAGGGGAGGGGAGAGGAGAAGGGAGAAGAGGAGAGGAGAGGAGAAGGAAGGAGAAGGGAAGAGAAGAGGAGAGGACAGGAGGGGAGAAGAGAAGATGAAAGGAGAGGAGAGGGGAGGGGAGGGGAGAGAGGGGAGAAGAGGAGAGGAGAGGGGAGGAGAGGGGAAGAGAAGGGAGGGGATGGGAGGGGAGAGGAGGGGAGGTATAAGAGACCCTGAAACTAGTGATGGGAAAAGCTCTGGCTTTCTTGCCTGGGAAGCTCCTGACAGTGGCCCTGGGGCCCCGGAGGCCCTGGGGCAGCTCCCAGCTCGGCTCCCTCACCAGAAGGCCAAGTCAGTGAAGCGAGTGGCCGTGCGGCGTTGGCTCTGCGTGGCGCGGGCCAGGCACGCTTCCCGTGGAAGGCCTGTCCCACGGTCGCCACCGTACCGTGGCTATCGCGGCTGGCAGTCTCGGAAGAGTGCATGGCACCAATGCCTTGGGCGAGGACCTCCGCCATGAGGAAGAAGCAGCTTCTGTCTCCGGCATCGGAAGGGCATCTTCCTGCCTCCCACGTCGTCTCGTTCCTCGTGGCTGGAAATCAGCACCGGGGCAGGCTCTGATGGCAGCTGTGCCATTCTGGCCCCACACCTCTCCCCCTCCCTGTCCACAGCACCCTGCAGGCACGGCTTGCTGAATCAGCAGGCTGTGTAGGCGCCCACGGCCGGATTTGAGGTGCTGGTCCATCCTCCGCTGTCCCACCCAGGACCTGGGCACTTCCTGTCTCTACAGGAAGGCCCACAAGCTGGGACCCTAGCCCCGGGGAAGTAGTTGAGATTACAAGTGGTCCAGGAAGACTGGTTACCCAGAGCCATGGAGAGGCCTGATGGCCTCTTGGGCCCGAGACTCAGATGAGGAATGACAAGGCCCAGGGTTCCAAGACATTCTAGAGGCTTCCATAAAAATAACCCCAAAGAGAGGATTGGCAATGGACACACAACTGACTTCCTATTGAATACTGGAGTGAGTTCATTTGGTTCTGAATTAGACATTGAGAGTGTTAAACATTGCCGCCATTGCCACAGTGGTGGGGGTCACGGGACCTTCCACGTGCCAGCCTCTGGAATGCAAAGTGGGTAGGCAGAAATTAAATCATGGCTTTTCATACGTACCTGACTGACCTGTCCTGTCCTTCGGTATAAATTGAGTGTTCAAATGACCCCTGTACCTGGAGGGCAACAGCTCCACCTACAGGTAACTCCTGAGAATGCCGTCCACCTGCAATCTGCCAAAAGCCTGGGTTTGATGCCACATGAAGTCTATGAAAAGCTAAGCAAAGCTGTGTGTGCTTAGCAGGGTCCTTGGATGAGCTGTTCCAGTGGTCCTCATCAAAGCACTATTCATGGAAGGGGTGCTGTGCCCTAAGAGACCCTGAAAGGAATTCAGCCAATTCTAAGCAGATATTTTGAGCATGAACCATTCTGTTTGCTTGTTTTTTATTACAGTGTGTACATGTTACTTGCTTTCAGGTTCCACACTAATACAAATTGGTACATAAGCTAAGAGTATAAATGATACTGTCCAGGATAGCCACTCAACTGTGCTTAAAAAATAATCAGGAATGAGACAGTTGTGTCTACTCTCTCCACTCTTACTCAATGTAGCCCTTGAATTTTTAGCCAGAGAAATAAGGCAAGAAAAAGAAAATAAGGGTTGCAAATCATAAAGGGAAACTTTTAGTTATTCCTAATTGCAGACAATATAATCCTATACTTACTAGGCAAACCCAGCCTGATTCCATTGGGGCGGGCAGTTCAGGGCTATGTTTACCATCTTGAGTACAGGACCAGCTTAGGCAGCTCAAAGCTGGGCCTCTCCTAAGATCATGCAAAATTCTGCTGGGGTAGGAAACCTGCCAAGGGGCTGCACACTGCTGCAGCCCTGACACTATCTCTCCAGCCCAGGACCCAGATTCACGCAAAGTCTGCTGGGGTGGGCGTTCATCCAGCGCCCTCCCCCACCGGGGCTATCACATTCTCCTACAGAACTGTCAGGTACCATACCCCTTGGGGCCCTTACTAGGTCTATCTCCCCATCTTAGCAGTGCTTTTAGGAATGCAACCCCAGGCCCCTTCACAGACATGCCAAGCTCAGAATCATTGCTGTAGTGCTTTATTTAGAGTGAAGCAGGGCTGGGTGGGAGATGGAAGGATAAGGTACAAGCCACGGTTCAAGAAGAAAGGGCGGTCCAGGCACGAGAGGTGGTCCGGGGAGCTCCCAGCACTGTGTTGGTGGCAGGATGGCTGAGAGGGACAGACCCTGGTGGCTGCTGTGACAGGAAGAGGAGCGGAGGTAAGTGCCCATCGCGTGGGAGCCGCAGGTGGTCTAGGCTGCGGGACAGGGTGCAGACACTGGGCTTGGGATGTTCCTTCCCCAAGCTTCGGGGCCTGTTGGGAAGCCATGAGCCCCCAGAGCCATCACTGCGCCTCTGTGACCAGCCAGGTCTCCGAACATCCCTGGTGTGTATTTGGGGTAGGAGATTGGACCGTGGGGGAGCAAGGGAGCCAGGAGAATGATGGTAAAGCAAAGGGCATTGGGAAGTGGGGTGATCTCTCAGCCTTTGGCTGACAGTGTTGATTCACTGATCTGGATGTCTCGAGCCAAGTTATCAAGAGAGGATGCTGATCAAAGAAAGGAGTTTCAGGAACGCCCCTTGGGGCCGACTCCTGCCTGATGTGTCACGGCCACAGCAGCTGGACCTCAAACACCAGGGCCCAACTCGGCTTTAACACCATTCTCCCAGAGGGTGACTTACCCTAGTTCTGCTCAGGAACACAGCTATCTGCAGAAGCCAAAAAAACACAAGAGTGAGAGGTGCCGGAGAAAGGGCCCAGGCCCATCATGTCGGAATCTTAACCCTTCGGTGGCCGAGCACTGAACGGGGCGGGGTCCTGCTGTCCTTGTGTCTTCCCACAGAGACACAGAGAGCAAGAGAGACATGCATGGACACAAGGGGGAAGTGGACAGAAGGAGACCCTGTGACATGGGAAGTTGTAGGGGACTCAGGGAGGATTGGGGACGCAGAGCAGGGACGTAGACAGAGCTGGCGCTCACCCTTCTGCTCAGGCATGATGATGTTCTCCTGCAAGAGTCCCTTGTGCTGTGTGAATTTCTTAAATTCTTTCAGGGCCTCTGGGCTTGCCTCGGGGCTCCTTCCTGTGCACGGAGGTAGAGGCCGGAGTGAGGAGTGGAGGGGCGGTGGCTGCCCTCGGTGCATGCCCGGCCCGGGATGAGTGCCACCTCGCGCCAGGGGCTCTGCCCTCCAGCAGCCAGAGGCAGAAGGAGAGGGGAGCTCTGGGGTGGGAGCACCTCCCAAACCACTGAGTGACCCTCACGAGCTGGGCTGATCCTGAGCAGACCTGCAGGGTCACACACTGACCCCAAAGGCCTCTGTACCTCCGGGGTGCTTGCCTGTGCCCTGACCCTGGAGGGTCCCTCACCCACAGACTTCCGTTGGGGTCCGGCACCTTCACTATGACCTTTGGCCTGAGATCACAGGAAGTGGCTCCTGCCAGCTTCCAGGGCTGAAATTCCCTCCTGGATCATCGGGTCTCTCGGGGTCTGGGCTGCCCCTGTCCCTGACAGTCTCTGCCCAGATGACCCTCTTTGGAGCCTGAGCCATCCCCAGGCAGTACACAGTACCAGCGCCCAGAGGCAGGCCATGGAGACCTCACAGCGCCAAGCTGCAGCTACATCCATTCTACTAAAAGCCCAGATGGTGGCACAGGAGACAGGGGCTCTGAGGGGCCCTCACCCAAGAGCTTTCCCATGCCAAATGTTTTCCCAGGGCGCTGCTTTTCACAGTAGATGATGACATGGTCCTTCATGGGCAGCTGCTCTACAAATATCAACTTGTGTCCCTTTGCTGTAGATGAAGAGGGGAAAAAGTCCTTTAGCATATCCATTCCTGGAGAAGACATTGACAATGACATTAAGGAATAGTCTAGAACATGGTGGTGGGAGATCCAGCTAGCCTGAGCCCAGGCCTTGCTGTGGTCTCTGACACTGGGCAGGAAGTCCCTCCCATGGGTGCTGTAGACTCCAGATGATTGACAGCAGAAGAGGTCAAGGTGGGAGTGGGTCCCAGGCCCTACTCTACCCTGCTCTGCTTCCCGTACCGCCCAGATGTCCAAGTCCTTCTCTGCTGTAGCACGCAGTGGTGGCTGGTGTCAAGGCCACAGACACCGAGGACAGGAGGTGGCCCCTCCCGTGAGGGGGACAAAGCAGGGGCCCTCCCATCCCCAAGGATCAGGCCACGCCCGGCCAGACTCACAGTCCCTGTATTTGCCAGGCTGTTCCAGTTTGTACATCAGAACCTTCTTCTCGTAGCACCGACCATTAAACCTGAAAAACAGGGGACCACAGCTCTCAGAATGCCCTGCTCAGCCTAGCTGACATCCCTAAAAATCCCATCCCACCCCTGCCTGAGCTTTAAGGCGCCCGGGAGGAAGGGAGAGAAAGTGGATGGAGGAGAGCCATGGGGCAACACTCACTTGAAGTTGATCTTGGCCTCCAAGTTCCCACCTTCCAAGGCCGTTATAGTCACAGGGAACACCTCCCGGGGCCTCCTCCCCTCCGTCAGGTTCTTGGACACCATGGCCTTCACATACCAGGTCCCCGTGATCTGGAAGAGACCGCGCCATGAGCCAGCCCAGAGAGCCCAGGTTTCCCCTGCCGGCCTTCCCACACACAGCCTGAGTGATGATACTCCCACCGCCCAGACAGCTGCCCCCGAGATGCGATGCACCCACACACACCTGCACCCCTGAGCTCAGTCCAGCCCAGCACTCCAGGCTCCAGGCCCTGGGTGGAGGCAGTGGATATCTGTACCCCAGATGCCATTCTGTATTTTTTTCTGGGGAAGGGTGTCCCAAGCCCCAGTGCCAGGTAAGTTCTCAGTCCTGAAAATCCCTCCCTGAGAGGGCCCAGGATCCAGGTATCCATTCAACAGACCCCCCTCCCTTAACCTGCTCCGCTGAGCCAGCCCTGCACCAGCCCTGTCCCAGGCAGGCAGCCATAGGTCGGCTGGGAACCAGAGTCCCCAGTCTCTGAGCACCTCAGGCTGGATGACACCTTCTGACAATGTCGGGTGACCGGCCCTCATGCCATTCTCCTGCCCCATCCACCACCCCACCCAAGCTCACATTCAGCTCCTGTGGGGAGAAAAACAGAGGGTCCTGGGCCTGCAGGGCAGCCACCAGCCCGAGCAGCACGGCGGTCAGGAGCAGGGTCTTCATCTCCGGCTCTGTGCTCACAGATGAGGCAGGTCTCCTGTGTTGTCTGGAGGAGACTGACGCCTTTTATGTCCCCCACGGCCAGTGGCCTGTGCCCACGTGGCACTGACCATATCCTCCTGTCCATCTGTCATGGCCAAATCTACGTCCATCATGGAGGTGGAAGGGTGTTATTGTTGGAATCTGATGAATAGTAACTCAGTGCTCACAGAGCAGCCATGCGGTGGGGGGTGGGGAGGGGGGGACCCGTCATTCAGTGTGCTGGCACATGGGTCTGTATTTTAAAATGAGGGGGAAGGCCCTGGCTTCCTCACCCTCCCCTCCAACACACCCTCTGGCCACCAACGTCCCGCCTGGGCCCTGTTCCCTGGGGAACTGTGTCTCACCTCACGTCACTGAGGAAGGGGCTGAACTTCTGAACCACAGACAGCCCCCACCCCCGCTCCCTAGAGCCCCAGCCCTGTGTCCATGGAGTCCTCTCACTTCCCTCCCGTGCCTCACCCTGAACCTCCTGGGAATGGGCATCGATCTGGGTCTGCTGAGATGTCACCAGCTCGGGACAGGCCCCAGCCCACACTGCGGATCAACGTCCCTCCCCCCTGCCCATTCTGCACCGAGGCCAGCCACACTTGTTGAGAGCCCTCCCAGATGCCGCTTGCTTTGCCTTTTCCAACTTGTGGCCATCGCTCAACTCCTCAGTCCTCCTTTATGTTCTCCAAGAGTAGAGGCTTGACCATGTGGCCCGCAATTTTATCTGGACTTTATTGATGAGCTCCCAGCCACATGTTTGGGGTCATGAATATTTGTCCACTAAAGGAAGAAGCCTCGTTATTGCACTTCTGTGAGCTAGTAGCGTTCATACTCAACAAGGCCGCTCAGACCCTGTGTTGCATTGGTCAATGCGCATGTGTGTGAAAAGACATCAGAGAGCCCACACTGCCCCTGGACACGGATTTGCTCCCTATTCTCTGATCTCCAATAAACCACTAGAACTGGAAGTGGCACTGTGGCTCAGGCAGTAGAGCGCTAGCCTTGAGCTGAGGAGCTGAAGGACAGCGCCCAAGCCCAGAGTTCAAGCCCCGTGACCAACAAAAAAGAAAAGAAAAGAAAGATGTATTCATGTATCCAATGAACTTTTTTCCATTCTCCATAGGCCACATGTTCAAAGAATGCAAGAGTGAAGGGATCAAAGCAAACGTGCTGCTGTCTCAACATTCACATCGGAGGACAAAATACACAAAATACGGAGGAGTTACAGTGCTCAAATCAAGTTCTTGCCTTTAACTCCAAGCACACCCTTCATTGCCTGCTCTGTAATAATGGAGATGGACTCAGTGGGCACTTTTCTTCTGTTCACAGCATGAATATAACTTTTATTAGAGGCCCAGGAAGCAGGGCCTTCCCCTCCAGTCCCAGGATGCTTCCAGCTCTTTCTTTTCCATCCTCCTGCTGTGTAATGACCAGTGTCACAGGTAGGGGACATCATGGCCTCTTTCACGCTGACTCAGTGGCCCCACCACGTGGCTTCCTGTTGAGCTCAGTGACACTCCACTAGTGACTCCCAGCGAGTCTTGGGGCTCTCCAGCCGCAGGTCACCATATCTGGAAGGGAAGGGAGGCTTCCTGCTTGTCTGGCCACCCGCCTTCCCCACCAGCTGTGTGCACTGTCCATTACAGCTCTTCCCCAGGCAGCCCAGAGAACGCCCGCCACCCCTGGGCCGCAAGCACACCAAAGAGCGGGGCCTGAGCCTTGTGGAGGGGTCTCAGCCCCGGTCAGTCCTTCCTCAGCTGCTCTGCAGCAGCCTGGGGCTGTTCTCCATTGTCCTCCTTACACTGGTGCTGGCAAGTGTTCAAGTGTTCACCACACACACTCTCCCTGTTCTGTCTACTGTGTGGTCCTGCCTCCTGACTGAACACTGATGTATATAATTACAAATTATTCTGAAAGGTCATAAGTGTGATGAGGAAAAAGCAAAGGGAACAAAGTGGACAGGGAGGGTTGAGGCAAGAGGGGGTGTTTGTATTTTCAATGGAATGGCACACGTCACCTCCCCAAGTTGACATTTGCACCTGGAGTTGAAGATAGTGGGGGAAATGAGCCATGAGAGCCAGGTGGAGGAGGAGTCAGCTGGGAGAGGCCCACGGTGCAGGCCCAGAGGGGAGAGGGAGCCCAGGCTGTGCCAGGAACAGACTGGAGACAAAATGAATAAAACAGACCACTGGTATTGGAATTTGGCCAAGCACAGGACATAGAAAGCACAAGGCAGACAGGGGTGGGTGGTGAACTGCTGTAAGGAATTGGCCTCTTCCTCTGAATGAAAGAGGGAGGTGCTGGGTACCAGAGTCAGGATGTGATTGGTTTAAAGGGTAACTACAATGCCTACATTGATGGAGGGGGAGTTGGCAAGCACACAAATGTAGAAGCCAATTGGGAAAATATGCAAGAGTTAAAGCCATAATGACGGTTGAGTTGACATCTAACTTGGTGTCAGGAGGGCGTGACAAGGCACAGACTCACATACAGACCACAGTGAAAGGGAACTGGGTGTGAACCTCTGTGTGTTTTTATATATTGTGGGTTTTATATGTCTGTGTGTTTTTATATATTGGACCACATTTGTGCAGTTGCAATCTCTCCATGAGGGAAATGGGTGACATTACCGCTTGTTGCCATAACTCTAAGCCTAGATGGAATTCCAATGCTGGGGCAGAAAGCAGACACCAGAGGCCCAGGCAGCTTTGCTGTGTGCAAGAGAGGAAGGTGGCATGGAGGCCCTGAGCCACCATCAGAACGTGTGGACAAACATCCAGACAGGACAGTGCCCTGCACAGGAGGAACCCAGAGTTCTGCAGGGGACCCCGGGAGCAGCCAGGAAATGCCAAGCATATAGCAGAGGCTGTTGATCCACAGGCCAACAGAGACAACCACAGATGAGGAACACTCCAAGACCAGGAAGGAAAATAGTACCCAGCACCACTCATTGGAGCAGACTCCAATGAGTGGTTCTGAGACCACCAAACTATGAAAGGACAGTGTTGACCTGATCCACATGCAAAACTTTACTCAAAAAAGCCAGGCATCAGTGGTCCACGCCTGTCATCCTAGCTGCTCAGGAGGCTGAGATCTAAGGATCACGGTTCAAAGCCAACCTGGGAAGAAAAGGCTGTGAGACTCTTATCTCCACTAAGCCACTAGAAAACCAGAAGCGGTAGAGCACTCGCCTTGAGCTGAAGAGTGCAGAGACAGCGCCCAAGCCCAGAGTTCAAACCCCAAAACGGACCAAAAAAAAACGAAAACAAAAACTCCTAGAGGATGTCAGTCTTTGTGACCTAGGCATTACCAATGCTTGGCTTCTACTGAACACTCAGAGAATAAGAAATCAAAGAGTCTCTGTAGGCTGAAGGTCCTGAGACATTCAGTCACATGCTGGCCTCTTGGCATCATCCACAGGAGTAGCGGGCAAGGCAGGGCAGGGCAGGGAGTCCTAGCATAACCAGCAGCTAGGATGAGCTCTAACCAAGGGCCCTGAACAATTGAATGGCCAAGTCAAACCTTATTTTCAGGAGGCTGACACAAGAGAGTAAGCCGGGGGCCCTGGTGGACATTGCTCAGGAGGTAGCTAGTCACGGGGGAATGTGTCACTCTGTTGTGACAAAGCATGAGCTCCAGCCAGGCTCTGGTGGCTCACTCCTGTCATCCTAGATACTCAGAAGGCTGAGATCTGAGGATTGCAGTTCAAAGCTAACCCTGACATGAAAGCCCGTGAGACTCTTAACTCCAATTAACCACAAGAAAACTGCCATAGCTCAAAGTGGTAGAGGGCTAACCTTGAGCTGAAGAGCTGAGGGACAGCACCCAGGCCCAGAGTTCAAGTCCCATCAACAACAACAAAAGCATGAACTCCTCCAATGACATTGACAATAATCTCCCTGCTCAGGTGGATTCCAATCCCAGGGTCCAGCCACTTCCTGCTTCATCTGCAAGCACTGGTTCTCCTAAGGATTGGACTCAACCTTCTCCCAGTCCAGGCAGCAGTGAGTGCTGCCCCGTGGTTGGTGCAGCATACACACTAACAGTGTTGTTATCTATGCACACAACAGTCCTGGGTCCTTGAAAGCATGACCTCCATATTAGCCTTCCCACTAGCTCCCACTGTGCTCCTGCTCCTGAGATCTACATGCCTGTGATCTCATTTGTTTCCTGTGTACAGGTTGATCCCTCTCCCCACCTCCTTGAGTAGCAAGGATGCAGGCCAGGGTTTATGTAAAGGGGGCAGCCGAGAACATATCCAGCAACTGGCCACCCCCCCTAAGAGGGGAGAGGCCGACTTACAGTCACCACAGAGACACTTTGGGTTGAGAATGGATGGGCCCAGGAACTCCTCACTAGAGGAAGTGTTGTTGCCTGACCATTGGCTACAACCCAGGGCCTGTTGAGGATAAGGTCAGTTTCGATTCCAGGACGAACACAACAAAGATGAAAGTCGCTACATCTCCCAGATTTTCCAACTCTTAATCAACAGACCAAGAACCGTCACCAAATTCCCCTGACCCTGATTTGGACTCCCATTAAAAGACCATCAACTGTAGTGCACTGTTAGTGTGTATGTGAACTAGTACAACTACTCTGAACAGCAATCTGGAGGTTCTTCAGAAAAGTAAACAGGTCGCCGGGCGCTGGTGGCTCACGCCTGTAATCCTAGCTACTCAGGAGGCTGAGATCTGAGGATTGCGGTTCAAAGCCAGCCCGGGCAGGAAAGACTGTGAGACTCCTATCTCCAATAAACCACCAGAAAACCGGAAGTGGCGCTGTAGCTCAAGTGGTAGAGCGGTCGCCTTGAGCTGAAGAGCTGAGGGACAGCGCCCAGGCCCAGAGTTCAAGCCCCACGACCGACAAAAAAAAAAAGAAAAGTAAACAGGTCTTCCCTACAACTCTGCCATACCACTCCTGGGCATCTACCCTGAATATCATGAGCCAAGACACCAAAGGCACCTGCACATCCG